AAAAAAGGTGTCAAACATTTGAAAATACTCGAAAAATAGACCGTTTTAGGTAAAATATAGTTTTTTACCTAACAATAACTCACCTGCTAACACCAAATTTTCGCTAGTTTGATTGTTTTTATTTCCAGAACACAAGTTCGAAGATGAACAATTGTTTTCGAATGATTCATAATCGTGACTGCACAGATCATATAAGGGTTTGTTGTTAGTGGAGACACATTTTTTACGCTGGATCGAAAGGTTATTTGGGATGAGGAGAGGGGAGGAGTGGGATAAGCCCTGTGTCTAAGGCGATAGGCATTCGTCTTTTCGTACCAGAACTATGTGCACAAAAGCGACTAGTTCAAGCTCTCCATTTACCCTGGCCCCAAATTGATTATCACCATCACCAATAACAACACTCCAATCACAATTAGTTTCACCCGAACACAGACACATGGCTTACCCCTCCCATCCCTTCTCCCCATCCAAAATGACCTTTCGACCCAGCGTGAAAATGTGTCTCCACTAGCAACAAATCCTTATATGATCTGTACAGTCACGAATATGAATCAGTGCTATCGGTGTGGCTTCGTCGCTCAGCTGATAGAGCATTCGCGTTCAAAGCGCAGACGGCGTCCATCCGTAGGTTCGAATCCCACCGAGGCTACTGAACTTTTCACAATCGACATACAAACTTCAAATCTGCCAAACAACAATTTGAACGATTATGANGACTCCACCGAATGAGCTAAGGTTAATTGTTCAAATTGTTGTTTAGCAGATTTGAAGCTTGTATGTCGATTTTAAAAAAGGGTTCGAATCCCACCGAGGCTACTGAACTTTTCACAATCGACATACAAACTTCAAATCTGTGCGTTCGAGTCCCACCGAGGCTATGAACTTTTCACAATCGACATAGAAACTTCAAATCTGCCAACAACAATTTGAACGATTATGAATCATTCGAAACCAGTTGTTCGCCTGCGGACTTGTGTTGTGATGTTACAATAGGATTATTCTGTTTTTGTTTTACTAGAAACAGGTCATTATCAAATGCTCCTCAGGTAGTTTTCTTTCCACATGAGTGCAGACATGAAAACTCCTACCGAGTGGCACGAAGTCAGTGTGCACACTTGCCGTTACACACACACACTTGTCTGGTTATCTAGTTATTTCGTC